GATTTCTAACCATGCAATCAAGGGCACTGCCAAGTTAGTGAATACACCCTGATCAGTCAGATGATAGGAGGGGACTGACAGGGCACCATGGCTTTGTGAGAGGCTGTGTTCTCGTCAGCTATCAGACGTCTTGAGGCAGCACTATTAGCTCATATGCTGCAAATGCCTCCTGTGTTGCAGAACCCCCAAAATCTCTTTTGACAGGAACAAAATAATCTCACAAGTTCAGCCTGGTCTCTCTTTAATGGTCTTCTCAGCTGTTGGAAAAGCCCATTTTGAGTCGTGATATCTTGCTGAAAAATTACCTTTTCATGTGGCATCCTTCCAGGACATTAGGGGCAGAAAATTCTTTCTCCTAGTTGAGCGTGTTTATTGTAGAGTTTCCATATCGTATTTAAGGGATGTCAATGTTAATCCATCAGTCCACCACTTTGGCAGAAACTGATATATCTCAACAACACATTCATGGTCCCCACAGGTTAAATCTTACTCTTTTTTTCCCTGACAAATCCTCAATGGAACTTGGTGCAGGAAATTGAACTGTAATAACTGTCGCTGTCCTTTCCTCCTGAATCATCCCCAGGCAAAAATATCAGATTGTGTCTATGATTAAATACCTGAAAAAGTAATGAAATTCCCATCAGCATCAGCTTTCCATTCGGTGCTTGTTAGCAATGGTTTGCTTGTCAGTATGCTTCTCTCAGACATTGAACATAGTCAACTATAAGCTCCCATGTAAAGTATAGGCTCCCATGTTAACGTATTAGCGTGCTCAACAAAGATAGTGGACATGGAAAACATTGGGCCTGCTAAACACCGGCGGTTTATTTTGTCATTGTAATCATGTTAGTTTGCTGACATTAGCATTTAACTAAAAACAGCTAGGTAGTCTTCAGCCTCTTCGCTTGCACGGCTGTTTCTTTGTTGGATTTATTTTCGTTTTTAAAGTCTTATTACACAGCATGATGCAAATCTCAAAAGGTCCGATCAATTGTGGTGCAGTGTTTTAAATCACTCAGACGTCTCACCTCTTAGACTAGAGAATAAAACTCGTTTTCAAGAAGCTGCGAGATGAGTGATTTAAAAAGTCACGAAACAGGAATTACGATTTCTTTCAGTTTTCTTTGTGAAAACCATTAAAGGGTTAAAATAAACAACTGTAGGACACGAGTCAACAAGACAAATGTGTGTCACAACCATGCTGTGTTGACATGACAACCTGATGGAGCTGCCTGGCCTGACACCGTTGTTAATGTCACTTAGGTCAACATTCATCACTCTATTATATGACCTCCTTGTGGACGACGATAGCGACTTTTCACTATGTCTCCTTCTTCTAGTGCTGTTATTCTGGGCAGTGGGTCTTATAAATAACTAATAAAGACCGAAGCTATGACACATTCATCTTAATGCTAGGTGGCATCAGGAACAGGTGCGCCGGCTCATTCCTACCTTTTGTAAGACAACGCAATTAATCTGCTTTGAGCCAAGTTAAGAGTAAAGAGTGGACTGTGGGGAGAGACAAATGAAAAACCAAAAGGGGAAAGTCATGAATTTTACAGTGAACTGAAACCAGCGAACACCTGACCTTGTCTACTTTTTCACTTTTGTTCTTCCTTTCTTCTTCCTCTCTCTCGTGTTGACTTCCTCTAATAAAAATAAAAGGGAATGAGCACTGATTGAAGTCATCTGTTCCCTGAAATAGAAAACAAAGGAGGAAAGGTGAGGCTTGCGTGCGCTGGAGAGGGGAAAAGTGGGCAGATATTAGCCATATGTGATTCATTTACAACAGCATGCTTCAATTAATCTGGGCAGGGTGGCAGGCGCCAGGGTTGGGCCCCATGCCACCTGAGCGAGAGAAGAAGAGCGATCAGCTGCCGGGTGAGGGATGAGCACTGAAAACAGATCTCTCTGAATTGATACACTTTATATTATTCCTCACACCAAAATCGTTCCCTTCACTTCCACTCCTCTCCTCCCGTCTTCCGCTCTGAGCGCCTTTGTTCTCGCTCTTAAATGGAACGTAAAGACGAGGCCAACAAAGGCTGAACACGGCGCTCTGATTCATCAGGCGTCCCTGAAGCCCCCGCGGAGGGAGCTGTAATTCACATGCAGGCTTCCACCTAGAGAAACCCCCAGGATGTTTTGTGAGACTGTTCTCAAACTGGGGCGGCACACTGTGGCAGCAAGTGAAAGCAAAGGAGGAGTGGGGGGGAGGACAAACTGGCGAGGGGGCAAAAACCACAGTGACCAGATGGAACCGCAGATTGTTTTAAAGGGGCTACTGCCTCAGCAAAACCATATGGGGCAAAAATGCAATTTATTGAAATCTCATTTATGTTTTTCACGACATGGTGAGCAGCACTGGAGGATCTTGTAAACAAAAGATAAAGTACTCACGCTGTCAACATGTGATGGAAGCAAAAAAAAAAAAAAAAGCAGATACGCAGCTGCCTCTTCTGCATCTGCACATCTCCGGGGCATGTTGCCATTGGAAGTCTCATTTTAACTTGTGAGCAATATTCCAAAATAAGAGCAAAGGAACACATGCCAGGCTTCCCTACCATAAAGTATTAAGTTACATTAAAAGCTTGCCAAGGGTAATGCTGTGATTGTATTGAAAAAAAGGTTCATGATGATGAATTAACCACAGGAGAGTGATGCATATTAAGACCCAGCATAAGAATATTAAATTACAACACTAAATAGGAAAAGGCAAGCAATGGCAAAGGATTAAACAGTGTAGCTAAGCAGTGTCTGACAGCATTCTAATATTTTTAGTCCTTTTCTGAGCTGTTTCACCTGGCTTCCGATGTAATCTGGATTTACCCAAATTCCTGCCTCATGCATCAGGGGGATTTTTCACATTGAAAAGACGAGGGGAGGGCTGCAATAGATAATAAGAGGCCTTTTCAAACATCCACTACAATGTATGCCTGCAGACATACTGCAAGCTAAAATGTCTCTTTGCTTCCCAGGCAATTAAAACTTTCCTCCAGGAATAAAGATTGGCGCAGTATTTAATCTGAAAGTGAAGACACAGGAGTATAGGAGTAGAGTGAAAGTGAAGAACGTCCTCCAAGCCTCACCCCCCCATTGTCTGTGTGTGTGTGTGTGTGTATGTGTGTCTATTCTAGATAATCTGACTCACTAAATTAAAAAAAATGTGATACTAATAATAATCATCTGCTCTTCGCTTTATACAGTGTTGAATAAATAAGGTTTACAGTTATATCAGCCTATATACAAAATTACATTATACGCACTATATTGTAATTATCTCTAATTAAAATATAGTAATTAACAAGTGTCTCAGGTCATGTGAGCGTAAATTGTTGTGAGACATTCACTCCACTCAGCACTAATTTGAAATTGTGCAATAATAAATCAGCTGCGGGGAGAAGCTGTCAGAGAGGAAAAGGTTCAGGGGACCATGGTGTTTTGGTGTTTCAGGGCTCAGTTAATTAGTTGGAGGGGAAAGCTGAACATAAACACAGATTGTCATTCAAGCACAGGAAGAGGCTTTAAATAGCTGTCTGCAGCTGTGAGCTCCTGATCAAATCAAGGTGCTGGACGGTCACATGGAGCGTTACACGGACAGGACGTAGTTTTTAGTATGGCATGCATTAGACTTTGTGTTTATGTTTATTTGAAAAGAGATTATTTAAATTGCTTTCTTTTGAATATCTTATTACACAACCTGATCCTCAGAAATATTCTGTTCTTTTGTATTTTCTCGTTTCTGTCTCATCCATTAGTTATATTTAATTAACTGTAAAACATGAAAGACTCTATAAGAAATAAACTTAAATCTTCACTGAAGCTTCAATTTATGTGAAATATTCTTAACATTGAATCCTTGGCGGTATGTGCTAGTAATGCCCCCGCACAACTCACCAAAGGAACTTTCCTAAAAGCCCAGGAACTGTTTTAAGATTTGACTTTCAACTACACTGGTTCAGTCTAGCAAATAAAAACTTCATTGTGTCATTAAATAATAATTACTTTACACAATGTAGAGTTAAGAATATTTCATATTAATTACTTGTATGTGTCAAAACAGGTTTTATCATTACTATAAAACATGTGTAATTGTGTTTTGAATGCTTTTATAACTAATTTAACAAAATAGCTAAGCGCGGTACTTTCTGAGCTGTTTTTATGTGACTCTTGAGATGAAGTGTGAAGCAGCAGAGGCTGAGACACAGCCCAGAGGACGGGTCGAACACAAAAAAAACATTTACCATTCCCATAATGCAACATTTAAGGAATCTCAGACAAAGTATTATAGGCTACTCTAAATGAAAAGTAAACTGATACCTATGTAAAATCAGTAGAGTGCTCCTTTAAAGGGACAGTGTTCAAGATTTAGTGATACTGAGTGTTGAAGTTGCATGTTGCAGCTGAACACCCCTCACCTCATCCTCCGCTTTCAAACATGAGTAAGAACCTGTGGTAGCTTCAGTTGTCATAAAAACTCAAAAGGTGTTTAGTTTGTTCAGTCTGGACTTATGTAAAAAACATGGCGGCCTCCGTAGAGAGGACCCCCTCCATGTAAATATAAAGTATTTAAATATAAAGGGTCTTTTCTGTGAAGAAAACTACAATTCATACAATTTAGATGAATCACACTAGTGAAAACATCATGAGGGTTATTCTACATTAAATTTGTGCCAATAGTTCCCTTTCACCTAAATCTTACACACTTGACCTTTAACATTACCCACAAGTCATATATCAAACAAAAAACAATACAGTGACATTAATTGGTCAAAGTTTTACATGATATTTTGTATGTCACAACACACACAGAGCAGTCGTCCCCAGTCTTTACTGCAGCATCTACTCACAAACTCGCAGAATTTGTATTTTCTTAATTAGCACTGCTTTATGTAGAGATTATCCAGCACGGAGAAGTAAAAATAGAACATCTTTTTAAGCGACTAATCAGACAAAGTTATAGAAGGTTCAGTAAAATACATTTACTTTTGTGTTTTCAGATCGAGCGGCCGTGGCCTCTCAGCTTCATCTCATGACCCCTCATGGTGGGTCTGACCCCAGGTTGGGAACCTTTGAACTAAAGCCTATTCAGCAGGAATTGAAAGCTGTTTTTCTTGGACAGCAGAATAACATGTAGTTTAAGACTCTGTCAATACTTAAAGGTGAGACTGTTTTTTTTTGCTTTTAATACCTTATCCATGAATGTGCAGTCGTATCAGAGGTGGTGTGGTAACTGTTCTATTCACAGACTGAAAGTGATTATTGTCGTACCCCTCACATTTGAAGCTGTTAACACTCTGACAGTGCAGATTCATCTTGCACACCGAGTCAAAACATACCCTTGCCCACATGTGTCTGAATGACCAATAGGAGTATTCATCATGGATCCACTATGATGAACTCTGAATCAAGGTCTGGATATATGTTTGTTCAGTCGCTGCTTTAATGACTCATGGATCTACAGTATTTGTACAGTTTATCCTGGGAGGCAGGAATGGCCCTGAGCCCCCGTCCACCCACCCAGAAGACTTCCTCTTTACTCGAGTCAGGAGGGGAAATTTAGCCCAGATGTGACTTCAAACAAAAGAAAAGCTGCTGGGATTGGAGGTGGGATCAGGCCCATCTTTCGCGTGACCCTGAGACCTGCTCCTTCCTGGCATCTGTCTATTTTTCTCCTTTTCTGTTCTGTGTCTGATGATCTCTTGTAAGTTGCTGTCTCGCGGGCCCTTTTACTTTTCCTCCTCGACAGCACAGCTGTTTCCAGCAAGCAGCGCAGCATCAGTTTTGCTTTGGTTGTGTAGTTACCCAACATTTTGTGCATGAAATGATAAGAGATACTGTGGAACAACACATTTTTTACTAAATAAGGTGAAAAGCAGGGATTTATAAAGTTATCAGAAAACATTTCACAGTTTTTCACCTTGTGTGGTATCTTTCTCTCACAACACTACGACAACTCTTTTTCAGGAAAAACTTCAGTGAAGATTTAGATGAAAAACGTTTAGCTGTAAATTAATTAAGCAGGTTTTTAGAGATAAAGCAGCAGTGTGAAAAATTCAAGGACTTCTTTCTTTTCTTTGATGAAACACAGGGAGAAACATAATAATTGTGTTTGAAATACAAATGTTGATGATGTTTGTTCAAATTTGAAGAATCAGGACATTGCCACTCTTACTTTTTCCTCACCTTCACTTCGCCTTATGTGTAAAAAGTCATATTTTGAAGTTTGTCAAAATATGACAACTAAAGTTTTTAGTTTGTGCCTTAAATGCTTTACCATTATGTTTGAGAGACAGGGTCCATTTTATGGATGCTATTCAAAAGTTGTTTCTAAAAATCTGCCGTCTTCTAATGATAAAAGAAAATCTATTGGCCACACAATAAAATGCAATTTAAGATTCCCAAAATATTTCTGTGTTTCATAATGCAGTGCTCTCTTTGTAAAAACACAAGCAAAATATGAATTTTGTAGAGAATATACAATGTTTTTTAAAAATGCATAAGTGTAATCAAATATAACTTACTAGCATCTGCAGGCATTAAGTACAATTTAATTTCAATAGTAATGAATACATAAATAAATATAAATATCTGGCTTGAAAAATAATTTACTTACTCTATTTTCATTCCTAATTTAATCTGTATCCCTATCTTATTTATTCTAGATTATCTTTCTATTCTTATTTTTATTTCCTCCTTCATTTTCCCCTCATGCTGCTATTTCCTTGTGATGCCCTGTATATTTTGGATTTCAACAATGCCCAACTTATCTTGTCTTATCCTAGAACAGCTAAAATGAGGCACAACTTGAAAAAAAAACTTCTTTAAGCATTCTTTATTATACAACAGACCAAATATGTTTTTCATCCAGATGGTTTGACTAGTCTTTGAGGATTATTGAAAAAGCAGCAGTAAGTGTTGTTAAATGACTTCCTGGGTTTTACACCAGGTATTTATTTTTCAGACAATCAGACACTCTGCTAAGAGACTGGAATGTAATGATGATAAATGAGGCTATAATGGGGCCACACTTGACCATAATATACTTGAAGCAATGCATTAAATGTCACAGGCTGATGGGGTTAAATCAAATAAGATTTTCCAAGTGTGAATTGCTCCTCTAAGCTGTATTATTTTTCATAGCACATGTCAGCACAAAATGGCGCCCACATATCTTAACAATTGCTAAGCAGTTGTCGGAGGTATTAAATCTTGGGATGACATGGCAGCCACATGTCAAAAACAGCAATAATCCACAATCCTCTCGTCCCGTCCTCTTTTGAGCCATTGCAAGCCTCCCTATCTCTTTTCTTCTGTCGCTCGCCCCTTCTTTCTCCCCCTGCACTCCTCAGCTTGCTTCTCTCCCTCCATCCATCCCTCCCTCCCTCAGCAGAACTACAGGGGCTTGCTTGTTGTCAACTTAGTGTTTTTACAGCCTGGCATTAGCACAGGGCAGCATTCAGTCAGGACCCTGCATTCACTTTGCCTTCCACTATAATTCACATGCTCATGTGAGAGTGCGCTGCCTTCGCTACTCACCAAATGACCCTGATTGAGCATTGTTGGCCTTTTGACTGCTCCACAGACCATTTCACTCTTCCTAGACAAAACTTCAAGTCTTACAAAAACATCTTATATACATTTCAAATGTCACATAACACCACATATGACAACAGCATGGATCAGATGAAGCGCTGCTGTAGTGAGTTTTCTTACTGGATGGTCAGGACGGTTTGTTTGACTTTAACAAGCAGGGAAGGGGGGAGGTTGTTGTTGTTTACCGTAACTCTACCATCATGGGGGACACCAAATGATGAAATAATAATTGTGTTGTGTGTAGTGCACAGACTGTATACGATACTGTATTTTCCAGTGTCTGTCAGCCATGATATGCTTGCACAGGGTGCAATAAAAAAAATTCGAAGGTGGAGGAAAAAATGAATTTTTGGTCTAGTGGGGCTCAGGAGCTCGTGCAACCCTCTCGACTCCCCCGTCTCCCCCCTGCTCACTCCTCGAGTAACACACAGTACGCTCTTGGCTGACTGTTTCCTCAGCTGTGAATTTGCGTTCTCTTCTGGGAGCCATGCTGTATTGGATGCATGTAGATTGATAATCGACGGGGGTAAACATAATTACATCGCCTTAGAAATTAATGAACGCATTGATCGCCCACTCTAAACATAATAAGCATATTTTTCTTTAAGCCACTGAAATCTCAGGCGACGGGCCTGATTTTATCATGCTTTCAATATCGCTGTGGTTTCCCACAGTTAGTACTTTCAAAGATGTTGCCAATAGTTGCAGGCTGGATTTTAAACACTGATGTTGGCATCTTTGAAGTGCTTTTCAGTGTCCAGATGAAAATTCATGCAGGGAGAAATGTGATAAGCTAATGATGTCTCTAGAGACTGGAGTGAATATAACCATGGGATAAACATATCTGCATATCTGAGTGGACCTTTTCCCCATTCCCTCCTTCAGCACAGTTTGGGGTCTTGAACAGCAGCAGATGGACAGAGGAGGCTTTGATGTGTTCTGGGGTCGTGTGTATATGCAGCGTTATCAAGGTACACAAGCGTATAGAGTAAATATGCCACGCCAAAAACTGTGGGAAGGTCTCTGGGCAAGGCAGAGAAGGGGAATTTCCACTCAGGAGAGGGTGTAGGCTGAAATATTTCTCTGCAATTATGCACTGTGGACCTCAGATATGTACAATATATCCTCACCAAAATTACAGGTTACTGGTTTGAAAACACGATAATTTTCCCAGTTGTTATTGATATTTAAATAATTCAAGGCCAGAAAACTGAATACCATGTACATTTCTTATAAACAGGCGTATTTCAGGGATTAAGAATTTGGTAACTGCACAGTTTTCCTGCAGCAAGGAAGGAAGTGAAGCCTTCAAATTTAATGCAAACTACACCTACAGGTGCCTCTGTTTTGTTCTTCTAAAACCTCAGTGTGAACAAAGGCAGCGTAGGAGCAAACTGTGTTATTATGCCCGCAATGCATAATTAGGACAATATTGTACTGCATGAAGTAATTCTGTATAGTTCCTTCAGAATGGTGAGGGAAAAACATGAGTTACAAAGAGAGACAATCTGCTGCTTCCTCCTACAGCAAGATAAAGACCCAGACGGTGCTGTCACATGATGAAGAGCCGCTCAGGTTACATCCAACCCACTGTGTTTTTGTTTTGCAATTTCTGTCCACACAAGCTTTTTAACTCTCAATCAGTTTTAATCCCCGTCCATACAAACCCTCCTGAAGGCATGCACATCCTGCCGGACACAGGAATGTTGCAGATTGCTTGAATAACAGGTTTTGTCATACTCATGTTGTATTACTGTAAAATGCAGAATTTAACCATGCAAGAGAAATTTATTATGTATATAACTGAGGCTAATGGCCAATCAGCAAAGGCTATGTTGTGACCGAAAATACCCAATCAGCAAGCAGTTGTGAGTGTCTGAGTCATAGTTTCCAAACATCTCAGTTTTCAAACTAAAACAGGGCGAGCAGCATCGACAAACTTTTTAGCAGCTTTAAAACTGAGGAGTATAGTGTGGTCATCAGGCATATTCGTAGCAGAGTTGATGCATTTTCAAACAAAAATGTAGTAATGTGGATGTAGCCTCCATCTCCAGACCCAAACCTCACGGAGCTGTTTGAATAGCTGGACAGAAGGTGAAAGCAAAGTAGCAGAGCAGCACATTCGTGGGAACTTCTGCTCTAGTGTTGGGACAAACTTTCTGAGCCATGCTTCATCCCCATGGTGGAAAAAATGTCAATGTGTTCAGCTGCTGAATAATAACATTCCATGATCCCTTGTTTATAAAATCACCAACTGTTTATTTGTTCTATGGTTTAATTTCCGAAAACACTGAGACAGTGAATCATGTGAATTTAAATAACAGCTAGAAAAATTGAGAAATTCTAAATCTCGCACGAGAGGCAAGAGGAAGGTGCATTACAGATAGTTCACTATTCCACTTTCAGAAGCTTGGATTTAATTAAGCTTCATTTTAAAGTACTTTCTGATCGAGTACAATCTGTTTTTTCGGTCTATTTTACTATCGAACTACTGCTCTGTTATTTTCCCAGACAACAATGAGCAAATCAAATTAACACACAGGATAATTGCCTGAGCATATTTGCCTATAGGCCCATTGAAGTGTCTGTCATTTTATCCCCATCCGTGTGCCAGAAAGAGACGTTCCAGAGCGCTGCACCAACAGCAAAACATGTCCATCAAGGAGACAATAAGAATAGGCCGTTTCCTCTAAATTCACTCAATCAATAATTCATGCTCTGCACAGAAGCTTGATTTATGAAGGAATTAAATGTTGTGGACTGGGCCTCGCATCGGCCGTCCATC